ATCTGCTTGCTGTTATTCTTCCTAGGCTTCTGTTTTCAAGGCTAGTTATTACTTAAATTATTATTAAAACCAGTAGCAACTGAATGCAGAGGCAACTATTTATGATAATAAAGAGTAGATGCATAGTCCTATACAACCGGCCCTTTGAGGGTAACCATACTGCTGATGCGGCTGATCCTGTTGTTTCAGTAGGGGTTAAAAAAAAAAAAGCAACAAAGCATAGCACGCATAAGCAGCAAACATAGAAATGAAAACAAAACCCTTTCCAATAGTGCAGGTGTTCTATGTTTTGCACGTCTGGCTTCCTAGATTTGAAAATTACTTAGCCATGGTCAATTATCTATTAAATAGACAAATGATTCTTTAGTAGGCATTCATATGCACGTAGTAGAGCTAATTACTATACAATTTTTATCTTTAAAGCAGATATGTCAAAGAAAATTTAAAAAAGCAGCATGTCACAGGTCCCTCCTTTTTACTTGTATGTCTGTAGGTGTTTGCCGGGTAATTTTACGTTTCATAGATTAACGGCAATAACAATCTGCAGCTGGATATGTGAGTCACAGACAGATACTGTCAAGTATATAATCAGGCTTGTGTGTGCCAGAGCGCTTGTGCATCCCTTGCTAAATTATTCTGCCAGTCTATTTATTAACAGCAGGTTTTCCATTTTGTACACAGCTATATGACAAATTTAATCTCTCTCCCTGCTAGTGTTTATCAGTCATTTCTGCTGCTCGGGTGATTTTTTTAAAGATTGCAGGCTCCTGTACAATCATGTATGCAGCATTCAGGACTTTGATTACAAAAATAAAATAAAGCTTGTGCAAAATGTCAGCGTATGCAGATTAGAAAAATTTAAAATGTAAACTATCATAAATATAAAGCCTATCCCCATCCCAAACTTTTTTTAGTTTGGCTAGAATAGGATAGAATTAAGGAGTAGGGAATAGGGTAGAATTGGGATTTCTCTCATGTGTTAAATAATGCCTGTGTCCCGTCAAGATTTTTCTATAACCAGGGGTAGCTGGTAGCTGTTGTGAAACTACAAATCCCAGAGTCTTGCAATGAAATCCCTTTAGTCACTGCATGGAATTTGTGGTTGCACCACAGCAGGAGGGCCAGAGTTTGCTCGGTTTAAACAATGTTTTGTAGAGGTGGATGAGGCGCACTGTGCGTTAATAGGAAGTCTTGGAAGTTCCAAACACTTGAAAAACAAAGTTCACTTTATTAGTGTATGATATGGAACATTTTCAATGCGTTTAAGGGGATTGCACCTGCACCCTTCTCCAGGGCTAACATGGAGAAGGAACAGATTACAAATATACATGAGTAAATGTAAATTTACAATGGAGGTACAATTGAATGGAATTTCAAAGTCAACTGACCAGAGGAACTGATTGGTTTAGTGAAAGTACTTTTACAATATAAGTTTATATATGCTCATATGTTTATTGATAGCAAAAAAGTGCCTGTCCGTTTAACACAGGTAAATAAGGAAATGTGTGTCAGTGAATTCATAGATGTGCAGTGTTGCAGTGTTGGCTAGTGCAAAAGTGTGTGGTGTTGAGAGAATGCAGGAGAATGCAGGAATGTGTGGAGAATGCAGAAAAGCAGATTTTTACTGTGTTGGTAATTGCAAAAGTGAATGTTGCTGCGGTGACGGCTAGTGCAGAAATTCTAAGGGTGGTGCTGGCAAGGGCAAAAGTACTCATAATTGTGGTATTTGTGAGTGCAAAATTGCATACAGTGTGTTGTCAGTGAGTGCAAAAGTATGTTGAGGTGTAGTAGTGGCAAGCTGGGTCCTGCTTGACGGGTACAGTAGTGGTGAGTGGGGTCCTGCACAACAAGTGTGAATTAGGCCACGTGGCTTAATGCACACAAACATTTAGCAAAGCTTTCATCTCTAGAATTTTCTAGATGATTGCTTTGCTAAATGTTAATGTACATCGAGACATTTGGCTAGATGCCCAATGTGAAGCCACTTCTGCTACCAGAGAGAGTGGCAACCCATCTGACAGTCTCTTTTCTATTGAAGGCATGGCCATCACTCTCCCTCCGCTGCAGGGGAATAGTAAGAGGTGGAAAGCTGGAAGGACAGGCTGTGAGCGGAGCATGTGGGTGAGGCCTGGTGTCGGGGATGTGTTTGGGGCCTAATTCAAACCTGTGGGAGAAGCATGGCTTGCATGGTTCTGGGTGCTCTCAATTAACCGCTTTGCACAGGAAGTGTTGGCTGAGAGTTGCTGACACCTGCTGAGCTCTCTGCTATAGCCCAGAAAGTGAGAAAGAGGGCAGAGCTAACTGTCCCTTTCACTTCCACAACCAATATAGTCATAAAACAAAAAATATTAATATATAAATAGAAACAAAAATAGACTGTATAAGGGTAAAATCTGTTAAAGTAAAATGTATGGTGGGAAACTAACCTTTGTTAGTTCTATTAGTCATGGGCACATATATGTTCTAATATTGTTACTTATATCTATTGTATTGGTTTTCAATTGAGTATACCCAAATATACACAATTCTTAATGAGAAAATTATACTGTATTATTTCTATCACTGAAACAATTAGCTCCTCCGGTCAGTTAATTTTGATGATGAAATTCTGTTAAAATGTACCTCTATTGTAGATGCATTTACTCATATATGTTTTTAATCTGTTCCTTCCCCAAAGTTAGCCCTGAAGAAGGGTAAGCCGCACACCCCACAAACATATTAACCCTGTTTTATATTATACACTAATAATTGTTCTTCAACCGAATGGCTGGAGTTTCAAATACTTTCTTCTCATGCATGGCGCTTTTCCCCCAAAACTGCACATGCTTGTAGGACCATTAAAGAGGAACATTACCCATATGTAAAAAACAATAGAAAAGACAGCTCCCTCTCCACTGTAATATGTAAACAGATTAAAAAGGTGGAGCGGATAATTCTGCATGTAATGAATTCATATCCGACACACGTCTCCCATCATGGATCAGGAAGAACTGATTCGTTGGTGATTGATCAAATCCATAGGCCGGACCCACCAGTCACCATAACCAGACTAATGCTTTTGGGGTGCATCACCTTCATCAGAGTCTAGTAATGCTGATGACTATATCACTTATATACACCACTAAAGTTTGGCTAACCAATCAAGCGTTACTTGAATAAAGGTCATCATGTGATACCTGGGTTCAGGTGTGGGAGTTCATCACTCTGTTGGTGGAGTCCTCTATAGCAACCAGCCTCCAAATCAGGCTGTTTATGGTGACCTTCAGGTTCGTTCTATGGATTTCATCAATCACCAGCACATTGGTTCTTCCTGATCCATGAAGGGAGACATGTGTCGGACATGAATTCATTACATGCAGAAGTATTGTGAGTATTTTTAATCTGTTTCTTGTATTAATAAACCTCACATATTTCACAAGGAGAGGGCGCTGTCTTTTCTATTGTTTTTTTATATATGCGTGTGGACATCCCTGTCGGGCTGAGACTGGCTGCCTGCCTTGTCAAAAAGGAATATAGAAAGTATTTTGGAGTGGACATATCACTAGCACTGACTAATTGTGTGATTTGGAACTTTGGCACCTGTGACTAGGACATGTGACCACGCACATCATTTCAGGGCAGGAAAATGCCTTTCTCTGAGATCTCCTGATATTACAGGTGAGATTTTCCAGCAATGCTCTGCTTATGTAACCTTCCCAGGATGCAATGCTTGGGCACAATTACATAATTTGTGCCAAAATGGACCAGGAAGTAGAAAAAAAGTGTAAGTAAAATAAAAATATGATTTCATATCCGCATGCAGAGCTGTATGCTGATGTGATTTTTTGTCAAAAGGGGTAAAGGTCCACTTTAACGAGTCAAGCTGTCACATACTTACACACCTCCACCAATGTCTAGTGCTACCTAACCTGTACACCACAAAGGTTTTAAACAATGTCTGTGTACCTGTTTTCCCTTACTTACTGGACTGTCTGACACCCATTACCTGGACTGAAAAGTGAGGAGATTTCCCTAACACAGGCAGAAAAAAAAGTGGGTTTGAATTTGTATTGCTGTGTCTGCATTGGGGGGATTTTTCTATTCTTCGTGTTTTTACACCTACCCAAGGATGAAAATTTTAGTCATGTAAATCTAAAGACATTGTCGTTGTCCATGCAACAGACAGACTGTAGGTTGACCTCAAGCTCTGTACAGGCTTTTGAAACAAGCCATGTTTCAACTACAAGAGTGAGGCAATGAAGATTCTGTTATATATCTGTTCCACAAATTCAAAACCGTTACAGAGGTTGCAAATGATATTTAATTTTTTTAAGTGATATTTCATTTTTGGCTGCAGAATGAAACAAAAAGGTCATGCTTTCAGATTTGCTATGATTTGTATTGTTTAGGCAGTTAGAAAAAAAAAGCATGTCAGATGAAAGCAAAGGCCTGTGTACATAAAACCTTAAAGTAAACTCATGCTTTGCCCATGTAGGGCAAAGCAACACATTTACCTTATTGCCTCCCTTTTCAATGTGTGGAAAAATCCCTTCTTTGACAGCTGTCACCATAACATTTACTCACGTTGGGGTATTTCCCATTTAAATATGTTCTGCTGACAACTGTAACATTTTAAATTTCCCCTCATATTCTGTCCCAGTCGGTGTGTAAGGGTGGATCTTGCCAAAAGGGACAGAAATAAAAATCTTATGCTCCTGCACTTTACCAAAAATTACAAAAAAGTTTGGCTGGATTTTCTATTTAACTAAATGTGTCACAATAACAAATATTCACAATGATTGTATGATATGTAATTGACTGGTAAAAATCCCAATTAGATGTAAATAATTCCAGGTTGTAACGGTACAAAATGTGGAAAGGTCCAAAGGACGTGAGCACTTATGTAAAAAACTATATTTCTCAGCGTTTTGAAAAAATATTTATTAGATCTATAAACTGCTCTTGTTTTATCTATTGTACTTCATTTTTGAATAATTGTGTTTATTTGTACTCATTTTCAGGTCATATATGCCTTAAACACTAGGAATGATGAGCATGAATCAGGCGTACAAGCCATAAAAGAAGCTCATGAAGAAGAGATTCAACAAATTATTGCTGAAACTCGGGAAAAAATTATACAATATAAAAATAAAGTATCAGAGGAAACTGAACTGAAAAGGAAAATCCAAGCACTAGAGGAGTCACTAGAAGAGCATAAAAAGGTGAAGCACCAAGCACTCACTGAATTTGAAGTTTACAAACACCGAGTAGAAGATATGCAACTTTGTGCAGAAGCCCAGCATGTACAGAGGGTTGTGACTATGTCACGGGAGGTAGAGGAGATTAGGAAGCGATTTGAAGAAAGGATAAGAAGTTTCATGCAACTTCAAGTACAGTTTGAGAAAGACAAGCGTTCAGCCCTTGAGGAACTGAGGGCAAGTCATAGAATAGAAATGCAAGAGCTCCTGAAAGCTCAACACAACCAAAATGCTACCATAAATAAGGGGCAAGAAACACTGGAGGAGATGTATCAATTGCAAGTGGAGGATCTCAACAAAAAGTTGGAAGACCTACGAGTAGAGAGGAAAAAAATAGTTGAGGATTATGAAGGGAAGCTAAGTAAAGCCCAGGCATTCTATGAACATGAATTGGAAGCACTGAAAAGATCTCAGCTCTTTACAGCGGAGAGCCTGAATGTTTGTAAACAGAAAGAAACAGAACTAAAGAGGGAATTTCAGAATCAAGAAGCCAATTTACAAAAGAACCTTGGAATCCTTAAAACAGAATTTCAGGTTGTACAGGAAGAAGCTGCAAGTCTGAGAGAAAAGTGCCAAAAACTTCAGTCTTCCCTATGTGCAGCAGAAAGCAATGTTCAAGTAAGAAATAAGCAATATTTACTCTTCCAGATACATGAGTAGTTTAATTGCATATTTGTTTTTCAAGTAATCTTGGTCTAAAACATTTGTAAGGTAACAATAGTGCTGAGGTGCCTGTACCTGGGCCTTTTCAGATCAATCCCTGTGTCTCTGTGGATCCCCTTGTATCCTAGCCCCAAGCTGTACATGGGCCCTCTGCTTCTAAGTAAGTATTAAAGTGCACCTATGGATAGATTATGGACACTTGTGTATTTACATGCAATTCATCCTAAAAGTTCATAAGAGATGCAGTGAAATTGTTTGATTTAGGTCCCAGGACTGTTTGCCCTGCTTCCTGTGCACCTGCTCTGTTTTTTTGTGATCATTTTTTTTACGTTTACAAAAGGCCTGAATTTGGATAAATTCCCATGGCCCAAGAAGGATTGTTTTTCATATGCAGGTAATTGGTGCATCTCCTTCAACCAGTCCCCAAAAGTAGGAGGGGACCGTAAAATCCACCACTTGGTGATAAGCACAGGTGGGGTCAAAATAACCCAAAATACAAGTAGTAGAAGCACATTGTAGCGAGTGGGTAAAGAATGTGTTCAGCATTTGTATAATTCTAGTATTTAACAAATAGAATTAGATCTCCCTGGACTCTACCACAACAGTCAATTTACCTACCGATATGGTATTTAAAGACCTAGAATTGTGGTATGTCTCAGTTGAGCATGTCTCAATTGTAAAAACTGATAGATGGACATGCAGGCCATTGCAAATTCCTCTTGTGGTTGGGTGAACAATTTAAGGGTACCACCTTTGTAAACTAGAGCAATAAGGGTTGATTTACTTAAGACTTAACAGGCTGATATGATCCCTTACTATCTGCAAGGCCAACATCCCCTGCACCAATTAGAGGCAAATAGTGAATCCCACCACACTCCTGACCGAGAAGCCCCATACAATGTGGGGGGAGGGGGTGCTGAAGTGGCCGCAGATGGCACCGCCAAAAACTTGCAAAACAAAAAAAATGGTCACCAGCACTCCAAGTTTTCTTCAGAAAACTTTTCTTCGTTTTGAAGAAAACTTGGAGTGCTGGTAACCATTTTTTCTGTTCTGCACTAATTAGAGACTAACAAATACCTCAGATCATATGCTGATTGTCCTACTCTATACCTCATTAGAAAAGTGTGGGGAATGCCACTAGGTTGCTCTTGGGAATTAAGACCCTTACTAAATACAACATATTCTGGTTAAATGAGTCCCTTCATGAACTGCTTAAACTGGGATTATTTCCCCAATGGAAAAGGGCACATATTGATACTATAGGGTTTAATTACTAAAGGCAAATGAGCTGTTTGTTTTGCAAGGGAATGTTTAAGTAGATACAACAACTGAGGCATCCACGCCATTTTAAGGAGATGGTCCTGCCAACCACAGCAAAAGGCAGCTGACATCAGGTAGCACATTGAGTTTTGAATCTTTGGATAAGTGGTAAGGTAAGATTAAAAGAGAAATATTCAGTAACATATTGTGAGATGTATATTCCCATGTACTTAAATACTGATACAACTTGAATATGAATTGCCTATCTAGCCAAGGATTTTTATATACAAGATGAATCGGCAAAAGTATAGGTTTACCCCAGTTAATAGTAAAACCGGAGAATTTACCAAATTTCTCAATTATTGCAATGCCATTTGGAAGGGAGGTTTCTGTATTACCCAGAAATTAGGGACGCACCAATACTAGTATTGGTATAGATGCCAATACCGAGTGTTTGGGCGAGTACTCGCCCAAATGCTCCAATACCGGAACTTCGTGGGAGATTTCCTATGACCGGCAGTGCTGTGAGAGAACATGGAGCCAGCTTCCCAGACAACCAATATCGAGCCAGCCAAACAGCATGGAGTCTGCTTCCCGGCCAATCAGGAAGGTGGGCGTCGGGTAATGACACGCCGTCCAGCTTCCTTATTGCCTGGGAAGCCGGCTCCATGCTAGCGGAAGTATCGGAACTCGGTATCCGCGAATACCAAAAGAGAAATATCGGCACTTGTACTGGATGCCGAAAAACAGGTATCGGTGCATCCCTAGCTGAAATAGAAGTGTGTCATCTGCGTACATGTTTTGCTTGCCCTCTACCTCACCCTGAACCTGCTTTTTGTTTACATTAGATTAGATTAAAACATTCAAACTGTCAAGTCACGGCAGTGAAAGTGTTTCTGTTGTGAAAATGTTTAATGAATTACTCCACAGTGCCTGCAGCTTCATATGTCAGCAAATGCTTAACTGTCTATAGCCTAGCCACAGCTCTAATTTAAGTAATCTGTTTGATATCAGAGTTTCATTTAAAACAAGTAGCTTAATACTAGCTCAATAAGTAGCAAGAAGCCCAGCCTGAAAAAAAAAGCATTAATACTTATCCCTCCTGCCACCTACACTGCTAAACTCTACTTCTGTTTTCAAGAACTAAGCTTGCTGAAAAAAAGCGTATGCATCTGACACTTCCAGGAAATGTGTGATTCCACTGTTGTGCTTTGTGGCTTCATCTGCTGGCCCCTATGTCTTCATAGGACTTAGTAGTGATGTAGTCTCTGGTAGAAGGTACCACAGAGAACAGCAAGTGACCAGTCATTTGGTATGCCGAGAAGTGTGTCCCTTATGCCAAATATTCTTCAGCAGGCTTATATCTGGAAGACAGTGGAGTTTTAGATGTGGGTGGTTGGAGGGTATTAATGCATTTCTCCGGAGCATGGGCTTCATTTTAATTTGTTTTTTGGATAGTAGTGCAATCCACTTTGAGCCCAGTGATATTTAAGCAGCAATGTCAGTTTAGTAATTCTTATACTGACCTTCTAAAATAGAGTTAAAAAAGATGAAATGGTAATCCCACGTATGGTAACAATATTATATTATTTTATAATGCATTCTTTTAGACTCACATCAAGAGTTTGATGAAACACAAAATAGTGAAAAATGATTCCAGTGCCATTTCACCTTTTAACAAGCTGCACTTAAGATTTGCAAATGATTAATTTACAATCATTTGTATGTGATTAAATTAAAATTGTATGCACCTAGCCTGCCTTATTGCAGATGGGGAGCATGGTAACATGTAGACACCAACACGATGGAATAGAGTGATAATATCAACTAGACATGTGCGATTCGTTTCGTTCCGAATCGAAATTTGGACGGATTTTGGGAAATTCGGAGATTTGGATGCATCCGAATTCCGAGTTACAGTTAAAACGAATACAAACAAATTGAAATTCGGACGAAATTTCGTAAGTTCGGAGATTCGGATGCATCCGAATTCCGAATTACAGCTATAACGAATGCAAACGAATCCGAATTCCCGAAATTCGTTAGTGGTAGTCCGGTCGAAATATTCGAGCTGACATGTTGACATTCGGGCTTACTAACTATTTGATGTAATAAGGGGGAGGGCGGCATCTAAGTGCCCCCTTATTTAAAGGGGTACCCCAATGAAAATAAGCCCCCTTGCCCGCAGACCCCCACAACCAGCGGGTCAGGGTTGTGAGGAAGAGGCCCTTGTCCCCATCGACACGGGGACACCCTCCCAAGGGCATGTGGCCTGGTAAGGCGCAGGGAGGGGGGAGGCGAGCGATGCCCCCCCCCTTTCCTGCCCTGCCGGGCCAGTGCTCGGGTCAAGGGTCTGATAGGACTGTTAAGGGGGACCCCACGTTTCCCCCCCCCCATTTTTGGGGGCTGGGTTCCCCCTTAAAATTCCTACCAGACCTAAAGGGTCTGGTAGGGATTTTGGGGGGAACCCCACGCATTTTTTTTTGTTTTAACTTGGGGGAGGGTCCCTCCTAACATTCCTACCAGACCAAAAGGGTCTGGTATGAATTGGGGGGGAACCTCACGCTTTTTTTTTGTTTTTCATCTTCTGCAGACTGTAAAAGTGTAATGTCACTTAGCTGCTAACGAAATTTCATCCAATAAACGAAATTTCGACCGGACTACCACTAACGAATTTCGTCCGAATCCCGAAAACGAATTCAATTGCGGACCCGAATCAGAAAAACGAAATAACGAAAATCCGAATCAAAACGAAACTAAACACAATTTTTTTGCTGGTGCACATGTCTACTATCAACATGAGAGCTGCAGCAGGACAGGCTTGGAAAAAAGATTTGCTAAAAGACTAACTGGCAGAAATAATAGTATTGATTTTAAAGAAATGTGAAGCAATCCGGCCCTGTTTTACAACTGATCAGAGGTAACATTTGTTTACACATCAGAATTTACCAAAATCTCTGTGACCTAAGTTGTGCTTTATGGAACTGTCTTCTTTCACAAATGGGACTGATTTACTATATTTACATGTTATATGAAAGGAACACAGAGAAACAAGCTGCAACAGCATTGAGCTGTTGGAAGAGTATTTGGTGGCAGGTTTGATAGATGCTTACAGCCGGAACATGTTTATTTCTAGATTCTTTTTCTGAGTGATACATTATGTAACTGCCACTTTATGATAGAGTTTATCATTAGAAATGTAGGATTGCACAGCTCTTCCATCGTGACTTCATTATGGTGTATATTTAATGCATTTTGCATGTTCCCTAAGGTCCTTCAAAAACAGCTGGAAACTGTGAAGCAGGAGGAGATGTCCTTACTAAGCAAACACAAAGACATGGAAAGCGAGCTTGCAGCTGCTCGGGAACGTCTACAGCAGCAGGCTACAGAACTTGTGCTAAAAGCTAGTAGGTGGTTTGTGCGAATATACTGGGTATACATGATAGAAACTCAACAAGTCTTCAAATTCCACTTTTATTAAAATACTTTAACAAAGTATAGTCATTTAGCAAATCCACAAAGTACTCCTAAATGTAAAAGAAACATTTGGTGACAATCAGTCATTGGCACAGATGACTAAACAGGGATGCCAAACAATTTTTATTTTTGACTCAGTTTTTGTGTGGTGCAACAATCTATGCATATCTATGCGGTAGGCCCTACACATGCACAAACCTTTGGACAGCGTACTTGTACACCTGCCCTTACACTTCTATGGGACAGCTTAGCTCAGTGGTTGCGCATTCACTTTTATGGCAGGACATGTCCTGGCCCCCGCTGGGATACTTTTCAAATACCTGGACAGTCCTGTAGGAGGCAGGACACTTGGGGGCCTTTGTTTATGTAAAGTGTGATAAGTGTGAGTTAGCAACCTGTCTGGCTGGCAAGTGACCTGATATCCATGGATTAGTTACCTGTGTCACACACTAAACACAACCAGTTAAATTTTGTTGTCTAGATTCTCTAGTCCACTCTATCTAGCAGAGTTGAACAGTTAGCCTTTTCCAGGGGTTTGCATTCCATTAAAACCCAGAGGTGGGGATTCATAAAAACTAGAACAGACAACATCTGGAGCAGTTGCATATAGAAACCAATCAGCTTCCCTGTTTCATTTTCAAAGCTTAACTGAACAGGATAAAGAAAGAAGCTGATTAGGTGCCAGGAGCAACTGCTCCAGATTCTGTCTGTTCCAGTTTTTATGAATTACCCCCAATATGTTCTGTCCTGCAGCAATTCTATTTTTTTCTCACTCTTTTGTATTAATTTGTCACATTTGTTTGTTTTTTTAATATAAATATAGCAATGCAAGATTTTCTTTCATAATAATGGAGGCATGCAATAATTGTAAATGGTTCACTATTTTTCCAGGTCACATTGGAATGCTACAAGCCACACAGATGACACAAGAAGCCACTATACAGGACCTGGAGTCAGAAAAGGCTAGGATAAAGGAGAAAATAATCAGACTTGAAGAAGAGCGGACTCTGCTGCAAACCAAAAATCAAAACCTAGATGAACGGCAAAGGCAACAGATCCTTGCACTGGAGAAAGTAAGACATGCCTTTTGTCAATGCTGTTAGACAACTGACCTTGTTAGATACAGCTGTCCAACATGTAATTACGGAACAAGTGACATCTTTGTTACATCTTGCTGCAGCATTCGATCTCACACTTTTTAAATTTACAGTGTCATTGCTGTGAAATTATTATGTAATACGTTTAATGATTAGAACATCCATTAAAACATTTTGGACGGCTGAGTCTATACTGTTTACCTTGCAAACATATATTTATATAGTTCTTTTATTTAGCGTCGGCATATTCCACATTACTAATACAATGAGCCATTCATGTCAGATTCTGTCCTAGCTAGTGTCCCCACACTACTCCCACAAACACACTGTCAATAACCTACCTGCATGGGTTTGCCCCTCTGGGCAGTCAGTGGTGTCTCCAAGGGATGAGCTCGATATTTGAATAAAAGAGCGAATAGAATTTGAGCAAAGTGCTCTTGCATTTCTGGGTGCCTGCGTTTAATTTCTATGGAACAGTTGCAGATTACATTGTATCTGTATCAAGTTTGTAAAAGGTCTGACCTTAGTAAGTGAGAAAGATAAATGGGCATGGCATGCATGTCATAGTTGAATGTTTCACAAAAATATATATTGTATTTGACACAGGATATTTTTGTTACAAGTAAGATAAGCATCATAATTGAATATTAGATATTATTATTATAACTGAAAGGCTGCATTTATATAAAATCCAGCAGTCATACAGCAAAGATATGACATAATTGGTGTGTGTCATCTTGGTGGAGAACTTTGTTCCTGTAAGAGACATGTACACAGTAGCAGTCTGCGGAAAGCATAGTGTAATACTGTTCTGAGAGATGCCTAAATAGTGATCATGAAAAAAAGTCAGTCACACAGTCATTTCCATAGTGCTCTAATGCTTGTTGTTCCACCAGTTCTCAGTGGCGCAGAGTCCAGGTGCTTAACTGGCCGGCCTGCAGTCCAGAATTTTTACCAATTGAAAATATTTGGGGCATCTTGAAATGTAAAATATGACAAAGGCCTATTTAGCAGTTAGAATCCTATATCAGGCAAGAATGGGACAGCATTCCTCTCCCAAAACTCCAGCAATTGGTCTCAGTTCCCAAATGTTTACAGAGTATTGTTAAAAGAAGAGTGGATGCTTCACCGTTCTAAACATGGACTTGTCCTAACCTTTTTGAGACATGTTGTTGCCATCATTTTCAAAATTACCTTTATTATTTTCTTAAAATTGTAAATTTTCTAAGTTTAATCATTTGACATGTTTTCTATTTTCTATTGTAAATAAAATATGGGTTTATGTGATTTGCAAATCATTGCATTCTGTTTTTATGTAGATTTTACACAGTGTCCCAACATTTTTGGAATTGTGGTTGTATTTTGCTGTGTTGCCCACCCCCCAGTTGAATTGATTTTTGATGTCCCAGTTTTCTCTGAATCCTGTGTCGCTCAATGAAAGATAACAGGATTTTTGTAATCATTGTAAAGTTCTTTTCCTCAATTTCATTGAGGGACACAGGTCCCACCCCTCTATGTTTATGGCCTTGTTTTTGGTACTGCTTTGTTAAAAAACTAAGGCATGCTGGGAGTGGTAGGGCGGGTCACTGTTTTTTTTTGTTTGCCAGTGTCCATATCCTCCAATAGGCGCAAGTGTACCCCAATTGTCTCTGAATTCTGTGTCCCTTAATGAACTCAAGTTAAGGTTTAATAGCTAAGTGCATTTCTGGCAGTTGAACAGGTATTTTTGTATACTTGCAGGGTCTTTAAATGGATAAAACATGGGGAAAATTGCATGTATTGCAGAGATGTACTACATGATTTTTTTCATTATTTTGCCTTGACATATGCTTTAAAGAAAAATATCTCGAGAGAAATACAGATGCAACTTTTCCTAACCTCATTCTAAGTAAGAGGAAGGTCAAAACTCCTGATCGGCATACTTGTTCCAGGTCAATACCTTAATATTAAAGCAAATGGACAACTAGTATTTTCAAAATAAGAGTTAACTAATGGCCACACTTTTTGTTTTTCCAAAACATCATTACTTTGTTTTAAAAGCTACTCACCACTGACAACAGAAAACGGCTGTTAATTATTGTTGTCCAAATGCTCAGTGCATGGATTTATTCTTAGACCATGTTATGGCCCACTCCTGACTTATTTACATTCAGCATATTAGATTTTAGCATCGATTAGCTACATACCATGTGTAATATGCACTGAACTACAGAGCAAAGAGCTTTCACCTTGTCAGTCTGCTGATGGTAGTGGGCAGGTTCTACGCTACTTTGTCACGTGCAGTGATGGTGTTGAGATGGGGGGAGAGGAAAGAGTTCTCATGGCTTACCATATGAGAAGGTGGGGAAGTTGAAAATGGCTTTTTATTTTTTCTGTAGTCACTGAGAGCAAGTAATTATATTTTCTGTGATGCAAAGTGGAAACTTTAATGACATATACTCCATAATTTATCAGTTGCCATTGTTCCAGTTAGGATGAAAGTGGAACTATTAAATTACATTTTACATTTTAATACCTAGAGCAATTTCCACATGTTGTTACATTTAAGCCTTTATTACAGTGGTGCTGTGAACATGATTGGAAGAGGGCGTGCAGACAGATTAGATCTATAGCCACCACAAAGAAAGGAGGTTGAACATATTAATTTGTTGTATTTAGCAATAACAAAAGTATCACATGAGAACATTACCTTCTTTTGAATTAGTGCAGGGTCCCACCCTAAATTTCATTTGACACCTATTAATTTTCTGGCATGCTTTAAAGCTAACCCCTGCCCCAACTTTACCGCCACCCCACTAGTTTGCCCAAAGATGGGCTACAGAGGAAATGTGTCCTAAAGTAAAATTCCTCTGTAAAAATCCTGTAATGGAAATCTCCATTCTCTGCCTCCTAGGATGCATACTAGTTCCAGAGCCTTGAAGCTTAATATTCTCAGCTTTGTTGTAGTCATAATGCATTGCAGTCTGTGATTCAAAGAATAGTATTGAAAATCCCTTGTTTTTTTCATACATATTTTTGCTTTGCTTTAAAGTCTGGTAAAGCACACTTGAAATAGAAATCATTAAAGGGAACAGGGTTTTGCACATTAGTACCCTACTTGCAAGATCGTTAATACCTCCTCAAGCCATCCCATGTAAAAAGTCTGTGGTTTGACTTGTGATCTTTCACTATAAAAGAGTCAATTAAAAAAAATCATATAGAATTGAAAAATGTACTATTTTGAGAAAAAAATAAGGTAAATTCGAAATTGATTACAACAACAAAAATTTGGGACAGGGCCATGTTTACCACGGTGCAGCATCCACTCTTCTTTTAACAACACTCTGTAAACATCTGGGAACTGAGGAGACCATTTGCTGAAGTTTTGGGAGAGGAATGTTGTCCCATTCTTGCCTGATATAGGATTCTAACTGATCAACAGTCCTGGGTCTTCTTTTGTCGTATTTTTCATTTTAAGATGTGCCAAATATTTTCAATTGGTGAAAGGTCTGGACTTTTCTTAAAATGGTAAATTTTCTCAGTTTAAACTCCGGACATGTTTTCTATTTTCTATATATTTCCATTGTGTATATATATAGTATACATTATATAGAATAGTTATATTATTAAACCCCCAAATATGTAAGAAACACTATATGATCAAAATGTTGTGGACATATGACCATTGCCCCTTTGGGAGCTCCCATTCCAAAACTATTTTGAGTTGGCTTTCCTTGTGCGACTATAACAGCCTCCACTCTTCTGAGAAAGCTTTTTTTAAGATTCTGTGTGTAGAAATTTGTGCTAATTCAGCCAAAAACAAAACAAAAACATTTGTGTACTCAGGTACTGATGCTGGACAAGAACTGGCTTGCCTTCTGATTCTTCCTTAAAGTGTTCAGTAGGGTTGATGTCAGGGCTCTTTGCAGACCACTCAAGTTCCTCCATGGAGAAACCATGTCTTTATAGACCTGTAGTCGTGCACAAGGGCACAATCATGCTGGAACAGAATATGGCCTTCCCCAAAATGTTGCCACAAGTTTGGAAGCCTACAATATCTACAATGTGTTTATTTGTTGTTGCATTTTCCCTTCTGTTCTTGCAAAACCTGAGAGATGTGCACACGTTTGGCCATATAGGTAGGTGTAAGTGTCTGCAAACATTTGGCCATATAATATAGATTTTTACACAGTACAGCTTATGTTTTGTGATGTATCCAAATCAGGCTTTTATATAATTAGATTGTAGAAAAAAATCTTTCTCTCTGAGTTTGTCATGATAATTATACAGTCACACACAGTCCAATATCAGTTTACTGTAATTCTGACATGACAGATGGAATCTAATTGGGTATTGTTAATGCTTTCCTCTAAAAACGAAAATAAACCCGGTTGCTGCCAGTTTAAGCAGAACAACGTACTGTATATATACCAAAAAAGAAAAAATCGACTCTAGTTTTAATTTTTATCGTTAAGCTGAGCATGAACTAATTTACCTTTTACCCAAGCAGTAGCCCTGTAGCATCATTCGCTCTCTGAAAACGTCCAACCCAGTGACATAGTGCATGTTTTTCTCTGTCTGACTGACAGCTTAATCACTGGAGAAATCCACTGTGACAGAAAGGTTTCTAACCCGTCATCTCTCAGACTTGTAATCTTGCCATCACGTCCTTTTTTTTTTCCTGCTGGGCTACTGCACGGCCTTCTATGCTGGAGACTTGTAAGTTTTGTGCTGTATGCGTCAGTGTCAACAAATGTTAAAATGCAAGATTACTATGTTATGAATGATGGTATATACCATCAATTAGGGAGAAAATTCTGCTTTGTAAAATGCCACTGACAATAAATCAGCCTTTGCTTCCAGAACAAACCAGGCAGTATAGTTATTAGGAACTTAGGCACAGTCAGTGCTCGCACACTAATTACTAAAATACTTGAGTGAATTCATTCTCCTGTTATTATCACATTTAATAATTGATAATGTTGTAATGCATACATTTACTAGATTAGGCAGGCGAATAGGAAGCACAGTACACCATGTGTCGCGCAATGCTTTGTGACAGTCCTTTTTTTAAGTATGCTTTAACATCTCCACATTTATTGTAGGCTGCTCTCCCTTTTAAAAAAGGAAATGACTATGATGTAGCGTAATTACTCTTCTCCATATACATTCATCATGGTTCATTATTACACACAGGTGCCAGATCTTGAAATCTGATATAAATAACCTAACAACCCTCCCTAGAAAAGGATCTATTGGGTACAGTAAACGTAGTCTCTCAACCAGTGCTATGTAGACCCCAGAGGGTACTTTTGACAGGTTCATGCATATGTCTGATAAAGTAAAATGGTAATATTTTAATATTTTAGTGACTAATACGTTTTTTAAAGCCATACAGAGTATTTTATTGCAAGAGGGAATATCTGGAAACCATATGCAAAGAACTAAAGGACACAAATAAAAAAGGAAATAAATTTGATTAACCTCTGTGTTCCTCTGCACATTATGGCACACTTACCTTACAAGTTTGCCCTTCTACAGCAATGTGTGATGCCGCTTGGCCCTTTGCTGCCACCATCTCCGCCGCCATTATTTCCCAGGGTTCCTAGGCATCTGCTTGGGCCATTGTGTGACCAGTGATGATGAACTCCTGCACATGCACTCACAATTTTCCATACTCCCAAACATCATGCCCATTCATAGCATCTTATAAATGCCGTGAATGAGCTGAGAATGTACAATGCTCCGCGCATGCGTTGTACAGTGAACACAGCTCTCTAATGCAGCTCTGACTCTTATGGCCCCTTCTGCCATATTTAGTGCAGTTTTCTCCAAATGTATGCAGGATAAGAAGTTGGATTACCTTCAAATGCCACCAGATGCATTAATAGAACTCCCTTTTGTGCAGCCACAGTTAATCCAACATATCAAAAAGCAAAAACTTGTTTTAAACTTTTCCCAGTGTAGTGAATGAATATTGCTATGTCCATAAACATCATATATATATATATACACTGAGTGGCCAGATTTTTATGACCACCCCATCAGTACTTCGTTGGGAAGATGATAAATCACAGGCTGCCAAATATATTTGTTCCAAGGTTTAACATGTACCATTTTTCGAGACATTTGTTAGTATGGTTCACCAAGTGCTAGAACGGGCATATTATGCTTAAAAAACAGTAGTATTAAAGTTCTTAGAACAATTAAACCACCATGAGTGGCACTTATTATAATGTATAGTTCAAAGCCTTGCTTATCCTTTCTTTTCCTGCCCATTCTTTTTCATGTACACAACATATTTCTCATCTGCCTTCATGCTTCCGTATAATTTTCCCCTCCCCTATTGATCATTACTGACTGAAATGGGTCACACAAGTTAAATCATTCAGATGTGATAACTTTTATCTGGATTCTCCTTGTCATTTTTTGTAAAAACTTGAATAGGTAGCCTTAGTTTTGTGTAATGTTAGCATGTGCTAATGTGACTATTCACAAAGATATACGGTATGTACATAAATTGTACTTCACATATATATTGCATATATGTGTATATAGTATGATATACATTTTGTTTTATTGTTTTTTATTGTTGTTACCTAGCGTTTCTCAGGAATATCACTCTTCTATATGGGTATCCAATTTTCATGACATGTTCATACTTTCTGTATCCAGCTATCTTACCTTTGGTCCTTGTCTTCTTATTTTCCTCCTCTTTTCCAACATAATTGTCTTTTCCAGTGAGTTTGTCTCATATATCTGTCCAAAATAACCTTCAGTTTAGCCATCTGGGGTTCTACTGAAATGATGGGCTTGATTTGTTCAAGATTCATTTGTATGGTTTTCCTTGCTGCCCACGCTATTCTAAGAAATATATATAATTACATATATATATACTCACCGGCCACTTTATTAGGCACACCTTGCTAGTATCGGGTTGGACCCCCTTTTGCCTTCCAAACTTCGTGGCATAGATCCAACAAGGTGTTGGAAACAGAGATTTCGGTCCATATTGACATGATAGCATCACGGGCCCAAAGTGTGCCAAGAAAATATCCCCACACCATTACACCACCACCACCAGCCTGAACTGGTAATACAAGGCAGGATGGATCCATGCTTTTATGTTTCCGCCAAATTCTGACCCTACCATCTGAATGTCGCAGCTGAAGTCGATACTCATCAGACCAGGAAACATTTTTTCCAATCTTCTATTGTTCAATTATGGTGAGCCTGTGCAAATTGTAGCCTCAGTTTCCTGTTCTTAGCTGACAGGAGTGGAACCGGGTGTGGTCTTCTGCTGCTATAGCCCATCTGATTCAAGGTTCGACATGTTGTGCAATGGTATTCTGCATACCTTGGTTGTAACAAGTGGTTATTTGAGTTACTGTTGGCTTTCGATCATCTCGAACCAGTCTGCCCATTCTCCTCTGACCTCTGACATCAACAATGTATTTTTGTCCACACAACTGCCGCTCACTGGATATTTTCTCTTTTTCTGACCATTCTCTGTAAACCTGAGAGATGGTTGTGCGTGAAAATCCCAGTAGATCAGCAGTTTTAAAAATACTCAGACCAGCCCGTCTGGCACCAACAACCATGCCATGTTCCACTCACTTAAATCCCCTTTCTTCCCCATTCTGATGCTCGGTTTAAATTTGAGCAAGTCGTCTTCACCACGTCTAGAAGCCTAAATGCATTGAGTTGCTGCCATGTGATTGGCTGATTAGCAATTTGTGTTACCAAGCAATTGAACAGGTGTACCTAATAAAGTGGCCGGTGAGAGGATATATATGAACTAAAAACAAAGTCAAACATTTCAAACTGTGCTAGAACTGGGCTAATTAGACATGTCTAGTGGCTTTCATCTAATATGAAAATGTATGTTTGTTTGAAATGCCTCAAGGAGAAATGGAGAACTGAGGATTTAATCTGACATTTCAAGCTTACTGACTGTCACGTTTTCCTTCTGTTTGTTAATAAATCATGGATGCTGAATAATAGAATGAAAGTTTGAATTATGTGTCTATAAATTTAAGCTCAGAAAACAGAATATGAAAAAAGTTTGTCTTTTCTTAGGCTGATTGATGGGTTTGAAAACTGATGAATGGGCAAGTACTTGCATAAAGTGTTTGCCTTGTCTCCTTTACAGAAAATCAATGAAGCAAAACAGACCCAACGCGAATGCTATGAGAAAGAACTGATTAACCTGCGCATCAAATTTGAGGAGGAGATGGTGCAGCTAAAAGAAGCTCATGCAAAAATGTTAGAAGAGATGTCATGGAAACATCAAGCAGCGCTTGAGGCAGCACAGAGCTCTACAAATAAGGAGAAGAAGAAGCTACAGATGGTGAGTCACGGGGAATGCAGACACAACACTTAATTCCATGCCATTGGTGAAATGTCTGTTTTGCAGTTTTTTAATGGTTTCATTTGTGAGTTACAGGCAAATTATCAGCATCCCAATTCCTTAATTGTAACATTTGAAGGCACGTTAAGTAGGGTAGTGAAAAGACCTATGGTGATGTACAGTAACCTACAGCAACCAATTAAATTATGGTTACTAAGACTTTCAGAGTGATTGCTTTAACTTGCAGCATTTTGCAAATTTTTATTGCCTAATGTATTAATTTAATAAATAAGCAAGATGTTCTCACTAGCATTAACACTAAATATAATATAAGCCAAATTTATGTTTTAGAGGTATAATTGTAGAGCATTTATACTGCAACTTAAGTATAATTTGAGAACCCCATTTGGTCAGAAGGAATATTACTTAATGTGGAATGTTGTTAAACCAACAGTAATAAAAATATGTTGCTATTAATTATAAACATATTTTTGGTGGACATTGAAAAGGTGATGTTTAGTGTTTTTGTTATGCTTATAGAAATATTTTTTTTCTTGTAACCCCCCCCTTCCTTAAAATACCAATGGCAGAAAAGCAACAAAAACTAAGTAGAAAATGGAAACATTAAAGCATTTCTAATTGTTATTTTTCATTTTTATTATATTAATTAAATATGCATTCATGTTCAATAACGTAGGGGAGAGTACACAATGAAAACTTTGATGTATGTTTTAAAAACTAGCCCTAGTTCCTAGAAAGTCTGCAGATGCACATACTCATTTTTTATAGCCATTAGAGAGAAAAATACAGTGGGTCTACCTAGACATCTGACATATTTATCAGAGACTTGATGTTGCTATTTCTGGGAAAACTTTCAATCATACTTTGGTTAAGCTCAGATTGGTGACAAGACATTTGAAAAGCAATAATACCACAAGCGCGTTCTGTAAATAATATTTTGGGCATTGTGTATCTTCCGAATTAGGATCTCCAGCAGCTATATGAAAAGGAAAAACAAGAAGTAGAGGAGGATAAAAATCAACTGAAGCAACAACTTGAAACTCTTAAGGAGGAGCTGACAAACAAATTGACAAATGCCAATCAAGAGGTAAAATGCTTATGCCCTCAAATCCTGATCAGTCTGTGAGCCCAATCCTGAGTTTCCCACAACAGAGTTCAGTGAAATGCATTTAATACATTTAAAATAAAGGGAAACTGTATCTTGTACACTCATATCTTGTTTTTTTGTACATATGAACAAGATTGATCACTTACTCCTGGAGGCTTGTTGTATTAACAAGCCACGAACAGTTAAATGCAAAAATCATAAATAGCTCTATAATTAGGCTGTATATGTAGTGTAAGCAAATGGAATTGGATGCACACTTGGTCATGGAGTGCATAGAGGAATAACCAATCAATGTTTGAGTTTATGATGGAAGTGGTGACATGTAAATAACCTTTTTTTTTTTTTAAAGAAAGCAATGCTGTTCTTGGTGTTTTTGTTAGATGGTTTTGATTCATTTTGCCTTCCTTACTATAACCTGTTTTATTCTCAAAGATTTCTTACATCCTTAGCAAAAGGCCTTTAATTCAAACTAGAGATGCTAGTAGATACTAGTATTGGTATCGGGGCAGATACAGGGCATTTTCAGTACTTGTACTCCTGAAAATACCCCGATTCTAAAGGCCGATACCTGCCCTTCACATTTTTAAACAAGTTCGGGTGCCTGAGTTCCCTCGCTTGCTGTGGACACCAGGCAGCCTGATGACCTCACAGTAGAAGTCCTTGGTAGTACCAGTCCAGCCCCACATCTCCTCCTTATCGAGACCGGCACAGCACTGACAGCCACACACCAGCCGTACAGCGCTGGAGAGCCAGACGCCAGACACGCGCCGATACAGCCATGGAGTACCACACATAGAGCACATGCAGCCCTGGTGAGACTCAATTGCAGCCCTGGAGAGCTGCACATACAGTCCTGGTGAGACACGATCACAGCTCTGGAGCTCTAGAGAGCCCAGCACCCAGCAATAGCCGATACGGCCCTGGAGAGCTGCACATACAGCCCTGGTGAGCCGCGATCGCAGCTCTGGAGAGCCCGGAGTCCGGAAATAGCTAATACTGCCCTGGAGAGCCCCACATGCAGCCCTGGTGAGGCGCAAACGCAGCCCTGGTAACACCCAAACGCAGCCCTGGTGACACCCAAACACAACCCTGGTGAGACCCAGTACAGCCCTGAAGAGCTCCACATGCAGCCCTGGTAAGACCCAAACGTGGCCCTCGAGAGACCAACATGCAGCCCTGGTGAGACGCGAATGCAGCCCTGGTGACACCCAAACGCAGCCCTGGTGAGATGCCGCATGCAGCCCTGGTGATAACACACACAGCCCTGGTGAATGCGTGCAGACACACCGCCGCACTTCTGAGTGACCCTTGAAGCCCTTCTGGGGCCTGCCATACCCTCCTGAGACCTGGTAAATAAACGTTTATGCTGCGGCTGCCTATTGTTCTTATCTTAATGGTGTATGTCACAGTGCTAATAGAGAATGACAATCGGCTATAGAGGACTACAAATCTCAGCAATCCATGATTGCTGGTTGCCATTCTCCATTACTGTATAATCATGGATTGATCGGTTCTGTAGTCCTCTATTGCTGGTTGCCATTCTCCATTGCTGAATAGTCACGGTTTGAGTTACACTTCATAATTATAAAGAAACTGCCCTAAAATCATTAGTCTGTATTGCTTTAGACAAAATTTCACATGTTCCTTTAAGAAAAAGTATCGGTAATTGGTATCGGCAAGTACCTGAGGGAAAGTACTTTTACTTGGTCTTGAAAATTTGGTATTGTTGCATTCCTAATTCAAACTCGATTACACACGATCACATACATGTTGGCTTTGCATAGAACGCCTTGCTGCATTTCACACTGGTGCTTTCTCATAAAGCCTTTAATTATTTATCTGGCAAAAGATGAATGGGACAAAGAAAGGAAGTCTATAGCAAGGTATTGTCTTCTGGGTAGAGAAGCTGTTACTCTGCACAGGAAAAGTACAGATTCACTTCAAGCTCTTTCTCGGCTACACTATTATAATATATCCACAATTCATTTACCTAAACCTTGGTTTAATAAGTATCACACGCAAAGTTTAGGCCCCATCCTATGAAAGAGCTATAAATTAAGACTGAGCAAAACAGGGAACATTTTAAGGCATGTTAAAGAAACATTGACATGTGAAATTCGTCTCTTTCAAGAGAGAAAATATGTTTTCCGTATGCTGAGCTGCATGCCCTCAGGGTGTGTACTACATTCTAATATATGTAACTCTGCATATCAAAGCACCTGTGTAAGCAGTATTCTAAGTATCCTCAGTATCCTCCTTGGTGTGTGCTAATGTCCGATACAAGAATGGCAAAAAACTAAACTGAGGGATGGCTATGGAAGCTCTTGCCCAAATGCACAGCACCCTTGTATACTCTGGCAGACTTATATCTTGGTTTGCCTTCCACTAGTAATGACAGGCCAAAGCTGTTCTCCGCCACTCTATCCCCACCACTGCCATCTTCTCCTGCTCTTTTTATGGACCCGGTGTCTTCTGTATTTGGCCATTTGGTGGAGTTACATCATCCCTCAACCCAGCTCAATTAGTATACACTGTACTAGGTATGCATAGAGACACCCAACGAAATTGCTGTAAATAAAAAGTAGGATCATTTTCTTGCAAAAGAGGCTTGCAAAGGCTCTCCTACCAAGAAAACTGTACTTCCTAGCATTTTTTTTTAACTTTACTTCCACTTTAATTAGTTGTTCTGTTCAAAAAGATAAAACATAATGTAATCTTTTTTTTTTGTATCAGCAAGGAAGATAAGGCAAAATATGTTTGAAGAATTTGTGCTTGTAATACAAGCTCAGTGAACAACTGCAGTATGTTAATAACTGCTGTATTCCAAAGTAATTTATTTAGATTGATCATCATTATCATTGCTCTTTTTTAAATTACATTCTATTTTCCTGTAAGCCGACATAAGACATTTTCTTTTCAGAATGTATTGCCTTGAAGAAATAAACTATTGTCCTCAGTATGTATAAATCCAGCATAATGCTTGCCTTTTAGCTTCTTGACTGCGCTGCTATGATTCACTGCACTCCCTGATGTCCTGCGATTACAGTGTAACTGAAAACAGTACATCGAGTATATCTCTCACACTGCCTGAACAAGAATAGTTATCCCTTTAAAAGCTAGCACGTCAATAACACATTTGTTTTATAGGTTGTACATTATACACCTGAACTGTGGAGGGAATGTAATATAAGAGTCACCGCAGCCGCAAAGGGAAACACCCAAAATGATTGGCATGTACATACTGTACATAAATGTAAATGCATATTGTTGTTTTTATTATTTTGCAATATTTGACTATTGCAGGTTGTTTTGTTTTAGGCAAACACATATAGCTTCCATAATGTTGGCACTTCCAGCCAGAACTGTAATTTTACCATAGACAACTTCTTCCCCAAGTTACTGTATGTCCTAGCTAATGCCCCTTGCTATGTCCCAAAAAGTTATTTCCGTAAAATTGATTCTATTTGCACTGTGTTTCTGTGGGGGTGGGGGGGGGGTCGCACCCCTAGGGTGGCCTTGGAGGTGCTGCAGCTTCCTCGCTCGATGGCGGGACTGACCTTTCCTAATTTTCACATGTACTACCTAGCGTCCCAACTAGTGGTGGTTCATGACTGGCTGGTTCCCCAGATAGGCAATGCCTCTACAGCGACTGAAGCCTCCATTCTAACCTCATTTGAATCTCTTCAAAATGTTAGGGGGATCAATAAAACGCAATCTGGGACAGCCATGATCTCTGTGACTGTTCGTATCCTAAGATATGTAATTGATCGATTCATTGCCCACATTCTCATTCTCCCTGCGGTGCTGTGTATAAACCCCCGCCCCCTTCCCCCCTGCGGCCACCGGCTTCCCTGGGCTCCGCTGTCCCCTGTGCGGGCCCAGCATTGGCATTGCAGGTCTACCCTGATGGATCGGAGAGAGATCAGCGGGCTTGGGTATTATGTTCTGTTTCTTTGCACTAAATATAATTTGAGTGTATTTTTTTCTAAAAATACTGGTTTGATAAACATTTGCACAAATACCGTGTGAAAAAAATAATTGTTGTTTGGGGTCTGAAGCTGTTTTCTAGCCAAAAGTTCAGATTTTATCATGTGTGTGCAAATGTAAAAACATGCTCCAGTCAGCAAGGGGTTAAGGAGTGTAATTTATAATGTACCATAGTTTTATTATACTTTATATAGAGCAGGGGTCAGCTTCCAACGTTTAGCTGCAGAGGGGTGGTCCAGACTCCAAAGTGCATTTAAGGGCTTCCTGCCCATGTTTACTCATCAACATTGCATTAAACACAAAACTCTCGCGGGGGTTCTGTGTCAGCACAGTCCAATTCACAACCCCCTTCATACTGCTGCACAGATGTGCCACTACTATATGAGTTTTTATGAGAAATTAGATTTTTAATGGCATAATGTACCATTTCGTGACATTGGTAGATGTAGGAAGATATATATATACACACACACAGTATATACAATTTTACTGGTCCACAACTGGTGGAAGCTCCATAAATAGTGATATTGGTAATACATATAACTTAGGAGAGGAAAATAATATTCTGCATTTGATTAATTTGGCTCCCAGAGTTAGCTTTGCCTATTAGTACCAAATTAGCTATAACCTATAATGGGTCTCCACAGTAGCAATTTAATTCTATGTAAAGCCTGTCTGGTTGTATCTACAGCTTGCCATACTGTTGTGTGCTGCTGAAACACAACAGGTGCATGTACCCTTGCTTGGCTTAATTGTTACAGAAATGATTACTGCTTACACATAGGGAGCACTTTAGAAAATTGGGCATTTGCTTCAGTAAGTATAAAAATGTAAAACCCCATCTTCAAATGTAATTATATACCTCTACTACAAAAATAAGTCATTTATATTTATTCTTTGTAAAAAAAAAAAAAAAGAAACTTCTTCAACGTAGCAGCGCTTTAGAAAATCGTTTACGTAACATTCCAATCGATGATTTCTCATTCGATTTGAACCTCTGTTACTGGGGTCTCATGTCTTTAATACAAACAGTCATGTTCTACTTGCCATATTAGCTGTTTTAAACACTGCATAGGAAACAATGTTGTACTGATTAGTGATAGATCTGGTTGCTCACATGGTTTCTATGGTTGAAAACGTTGCCGCAGAAATGTATTGTTTAATGCAAAATGTACAATCTATAATTCTCTGGTTATTTAGAGGAAGACTAAAGTCTGCTATTTACATTTAAATAGATTTGTCGACTTCAAGACTTGGTGAAGAAAAGTGAACAAGGACTTGGATCTGCTGAGTGTCATATAACAAGTCTGAAAGATGCCCAGGACAGGCTTCAAAATGAGCTTGATGTAACACGAGAAAGACTGAGAGAGACCAGTGATTCCCTGTTTGCTGTTCAGGTAACTATAGCATAGTTCTCTAGCAGTGGAATCATTTTTCTTCCATTATGGGAAATTATGTGAGCACATCAGCATGCAAAGGTCAGTTCCCATATACATATAACAAAAGAACGATCTTATTATCCAGAGAGCGCATAAAGAATTGGGCTTTAAACCGATTCATTGAATGGTACAGACAAATTCATAAAAAGTTTATGTTGTTTATATTGTTTGATACTTAAAAATCACATATGGGTGCAAAACCCATATGTCATTAAGGTCCTATGGAGCCCCATCTGAGACACCCTTATGTGCACACTCACACTATAGCTGCTGCCTTTGCCTGCCCTGAATGTGCACAGACACCCCAGGGCAGTGG